CACCCGGTAATGTTGTTCTTGTGGACAAAAATAATAAAATTAGTGAATTTCAAGGGAACTCTGAACTTTACGACCTACTTTTCTTGAGAAATCCACCAGCATTGGGTAATGAAGGTGAAATGGATCCCGAAGTTATCGAAAATTATAAATCAATTTTGCAGTTGACAGAAGCACCGTATACAGACTATAATAAAAAGTATGGGTTGAGAGCTACAAGGTGGAGAAAGTATACAAGTATCATAAAACCTCTAATGCAAGGAACTCGATTAGGTACTGGGATTCAGAAAAATAATTCAAAAGGTAGCTTACCCCTCCAAAAACGTGTCATTTCGGAAAATGTGAATTATGTATATTGGAATAAACCGAAAGAGTTAATAGATCGTTTACGATTACTCTGGAGTTCAAAGATGGCGGGACACACCGGACATGATAACGAAATAATATCTATAATTGAAGAACTCCGGGAAGAACGAATAATTTATTAAGAAAAGCAAGTAGCAATTTTCATCAGTTCTCCAAGATACGTCTTTTAGAAATATGGAGGTTAGCCCTGAAAAGTTAAAAATTGTCAATGAACTTCATAGACCTGCTAGAAAAAATTTTCCAAGGAGGCGTACAATAATTAAGGGATATAGCGATTTGTGGCAAATAGATTTGGCTGAAATGCAACAATATAGTAGTGAAAATAATGGTTATCGTTACATATTAGTGTGTATAAATTGCTATTCTAAATATATGTACACTAGACCTGTCAAGAATAAAACTGGAGTTGAAGTTACCAGGGCGATGAGGGATATTATTACAGAAGCAGGGTATGCACCAAGTAATCTACAAAGCGACCAAGGAAAGGAATTTTTCAATAGAACTTTTCAAGCTATGGTTGAAGAATACAATATTAATCATTATTTTACATTCAGTACCAAAAAAGCTGCAATTGTAGAACGAGTAATAAGAACACTTAAGAATTATTTATATAAGGAGTTTTCAGCTAGAGGTTCATACCAATGGCTACAACTTTTACCTACTGTAACGAAGACGTATAATAATAAGAAACACCGCACCACCCAAATGAAACCGGTTGATGTTAATCCTAACACACGTATTGACGCTTACAATCACATAAAAATTGTACCTAAAAAATTTAAATTTCGATTAGGTGATGTGGTTCGAATAAGCAAATTCAAAAGTATTTTTGATAAGGGATATACTCCGTCATGGTCAACTGAACAGTTTAAAGTTGCAAAAGTTAACATCACCCAGCCACCGACATACATCCTAGAATCAGTAGAAGGTCAACCAATTAAGGGATGTTTTTATGAGGCCGAATTACAGAAGACAAAGTCCCCGGGTATTTATCTAGTTGAAAGAATACTGCGTAACCGACAGAAAAATAAAGTTAAGCAATTTTATGTAAAGTGGTTAGGCTTTCCATCCAGGTTTAACTCATGGATTGATTCTTCTGATATTATTTAAAATTTATAATATGTTTACTTTGTACTATTAAAAAATCAACACATTTTTTTTTAAATCGTATTTTATTTAAATAAACCTACATTTATTACTATATTTTTTTATTTCACATTTGCCAATATATGTTCAGAGATATCCGTCAAACGCCTAGTATCCTTAAACTTATTCAGCTGGTCTTCCAGAATTGCAATCCTCGTCACGTATTTGGGCTTATTGTGTTCTATCTCAGATTCCAACTTTGCCAATATTAGAGTCATAAAATCCTTAGTTATTATACGAGTATAAAGGTCTTGTAATTTATGTATTTTATAATCTGCATATTGCATTGTAACTGCATCAGCCTTATCTATTGGCTCACTAAGGTTTATTATTCGTTTTTCTTGAATGTTATAGTCGCCACTGGGTGTTAATTTATATCCAATTCCGGGTATGCTGCGCAACACTTCAACTGTTTTATGTATTTTATCATCTGCATATTGCATTGCAACTGCATCAACCTTATCTATTGGCTCACTAAGGTACATTCTTCGTTTTCCTTGAATGTTATAGTCACCACTGGGTGTTAATTTATATCCAATTCCTGGCATGCTGCGCAACACTTCTACAGTATCATGAATATTCTTACGACCGAATTTATCAATTGTTTTGTTAGTCGCCATCTCTGAACTAAACTGTTTTCTACGGAAGTACTATTATTATATGAATTTATTATTAAGTGGAGTAACACCCCCCTGTTGTTCAGTTTTAATAATATGATTTACTCTTTTTTCTAACACGATAATCCTTTGGATGTATTCTCGCGTTTTTTCTTCCACAGTTTTTTTTATCGCGTTCATCATTTTCTCTTCCACATCATTATTCAATATATTTGCAAATGCTTTGTTCAATTGAACAAGTTCCTTGTCAATATATTGTTTTGTTATAGCATCTGTCTTATCTCTAGGATGAGCGACATTCGTTAAACGTTTTTGAGTTATGTCGTAATCTCCACTGGATGTTAATTTAAATCCTATTCCAGCAGCACCACGTATTGTACGCACTTTGATATTATTTCTTTTGCGTCCAAACTTGTCAACTGTATTGTTAACAGGAGCCATATTCAACTATAACTAAAATATTTTCAGTAATTGTTCTTATTTATATAAATATATATAATAAAAAAAAACAGGGTGATAGTAGTAGTACATATTTATTGATGACGTTTTACAATTTGTTTTTCATGGTAAATATATAATGTGTAGGTATAAAATGTATTAGCCTAGGCTAGCTGCTACATCGACTTCCATGTTATCTACTGTGTCAACATCGTTCGAGACACTACTGGTTCCGTCTTTTTGTAATGCTGGATTGATGGTTGCAGAAAATGTCTCTTCATAGAGGAGATATTTCTCAGAAATATCATCTGGGATATGTGGAATTCTAAGTAAAAAACTTCTTAAATCTTCCTCCACCATTTCAGAGCAAAATGTATCCAGACTAATGCTACCATACACATACTTTTCACACAAATGTGCTCCAATACGATAGTTTATTGAGGTTTTAAGGTATTTAATATATTTCTCATCATCATCATTGTCTCCAAGAAGATTTAGGAATTTCAGGGTGTCGCCACATATTTTTCTCAATTGTACAGCTAATTTATAAACGTGTAACATTTGGCCTTCATCATATGCATTAGAATCATACTTTTCAGTGACAACGTCGCACATCTTTAACAAGAATACATGTGTGAGTATTCAATGAATGTAATTATTACAAGTTACTTAACATTTTATTACATTTTTTTTTAATATTATATTAATAAATGTTTACTCCAACACACCAAAATTAAGGAGGGCTCTAGTATTTCCACCAGCTAATACCGAACTCTGCCCTAAATAACATAAATAATATTTATCATCGAATTTATTTATGAGCTGTACTAGATCATCTGTGAAAGTCTGAACAACACGTTTTGGTAGAAATGATTGGAATGTTAAGTTACTTGTTTTATCGTGTAATGTTGCTAGAATTGTTTTTCCAAAACGTGTTGTCATCGACACCATATTTTTAATAATATATATTTTTCCCACTGTCAACGATGATATGGATTTACGTTCGACTAATTCAATTTCTTCAAGCTTTTTATTAATTTGTTCAAATGTATTCTTTGAAATACTCATTTTAAAAAAAATGTAATAAATATTTGAAAAAACTTTTACGCAATATACCTTCAAACACTTTTGAATACACCACACAATGTTTCTTTGGAATGTATACACACGACTTGTTACTTTACAAGAGATTCTATATCTGAATACGTTTCCATGAAAGTCGCTTTATATACACAATGTTAAACTACCCCCCACCTTGGCAGCCTAGAAGAACATTCATGGTGACTAATTTCAAAGACATCTGAAAGTCAATCTTACAGGTCGTTCAAGATTGTCCATCAAGCTCCTTGTGAAGGGTACACAAACGCATTTCAAATACATCTGAAAGTCAACCTTAAAGGTCGTTTAAGGTCTCACAACAAGGTTCTTTCTGGAATCACTCAAGGAGGTTTGAAAGCCACATATGTCAAGGTCAAGCGAACTGCGCATGTGGAGGAGCCCAATCGGCTAATATCTCCTACTTCCGTGGCATAATTAATGTTTGGTTTTAGATTTGTATTAATTTATAATAAAGCAAGAATATAAAGTTTTAGATATTGTATGTAATATTAAAAAAAATACAAACTAATAACAACTATTTACAGTAATATTTAGTTCTAATAAAGGAGTATAAAAACTAGACTAAATGATTATAAATATAAATAATAAATTTAATAAAAATAGTACAAATAATATTTTAACTAAATAATGTAAATTGTTATAATACATAAAATATATCGTTACCTTTACGAGAGTTTAATGACACTATAGACAATACTCTGGTAATATTGATTTTTCATTACATATTTTAATTTTTAATCATCTACCGTTGAAAAGCACCTATCATAATATATCGAACTATAAAAAATGTCTATACCTATGTGGCGGATTCATAACGCCACTGCACTGCAAGAAAATCTACAAAATAAAAAGCATATTTTTTTCTTTGTTAGGCAAATTTGTATTACTGTAAACATAACTTCTGACAAGCAGTGTCCGTCTAGGTTTAACGCAGAAGTGTTTACAAAAAATAATTATTTTATTTTCTAGATTTTCTTGCAGTGCAGTGGCGAAATACAATATATAAGGATTTTTTTGGAAAGATATCGAACTATGCAGAGCTATGTATACATATACAGGGTGAGTCTTAAATAAGTGCAAATTTTTTCAAGGCTGGTAGATCTCAATAAAAGAAACATATTTTCTCTTTACCGTTTTTCAAATAACTCTAAAACGACCAAGTTATTTTAGATTGAAAATCTAAGCAAAACATGATTTTTTTGGTTAAATATTGAAAACCACTGTATCTTTTCTGTGTTTCCTTTCTTGTAAATTTAATCTACTACCTATGCTGTCATATTATAAAGATATTATGATTTTTTAACTTAAAATTAAAGGATTTCCAAAAAAAAATCAAAAAACTCCTAATCTTCAAAAATGTTTTTTTCCGCGAAAAAAATCTTATACTTAGACGTGTCTCTGAGGTCGAAATATACTACCCCTAAAATATTTGCACTTATTTGATACTCACCCTGTATAAGTATATGCTTAATATAAGCCAACAAATGCCAGGTATTTACTAAAAGAAATTTATTTTAAATTGGACACTTTCTTAATGAATCGACTTAAAACAGGTACGTTGGCATAGACACCGGGAAATCCTTTTTTAGTGCATCCATATCCCCACGAAACTATACCATATATGGTACCGTTGACAACAAGGGGTCCTCCCGAGTCTCCTTGGCAGGAATCTTTGTTTTCCGATCCAAAGTAACCGGCGCAAAACATTCTCTGTGTCAAAATTCCGTAGCCTCTCATACATGATTCTCTTGACATGGTTGGAAGATAGACTACTTGGAGGTAGTCACCGTCTTCATCCATAGCACCCCAACCTGTTACTGCAGCCATCACGCCATACGGTACTTGACCTCCTAGAAAATATCATTTTATTTATAAATATTATTAGATATCTAGTAAAGTTGGATATTTTAAAATTTAATCAAGAATTATGTTCTTTTATTATAATATTTAAGTGATAGGGTTTTGACTTCTACGGTTATAATTAATTATTTTAAAATTTTGAAATATACAATTTATGCGACAATAGGTATTTTTTTAAGTTGAAAACTATTGCAGTTATTGAAACTATAAACTTCTCAGGTACGAAGTTTGTGTAACGTAACGCTGTTACAGGTATAGTAAAAATTGTTATGTTGTTTTGTGACAATTTCAAATGATAATAAAATTGCCGAAAAATGATAATACGCAAAGAAGTTGTTGTGTGAAATAACATTCAACACAACTTTCCCGGAACAACATTTTATAGCTTCCTGGCTTTCTCACACCGATTTTATCAAAAGCAACCATGGATTTAGGCAGTTCGACGAAACTGATGAGCAAACAAAGTGCCGAATACATAATCAAAAATTTAAATAGACTATATTATGATAATAAAATATAATTTGCTCAATATTAATGGTATACTTTTTTATTCAACTAGTGCTTGCATTTTTTATGAACATCTTCTAAAATTATAATTATGTACCTTTAAAAGATTTCAGTTATGTCAACACTACCAAAACCGGTGCCTAAAACTATGCTCGCTGTCGTAGCTGTACTCATCTGAAGCCGGACTCAGATGACTCGCGTACTTGGCAAGTACACCGATATTTGCATACTTGGCAAGTATTCCATGTTTGTAAACAACATTTTTTTTATTTGTAATCAACAAACTTGGCACTCACGCGGCGCGACTAGTGACAAATAATTGCACAAGTAAACCCCTCACACGACATGGCAAGTATTTGCCAATAACAAATGCTTGTCAATGTCAAGCACAGGAGTCCTCTGCGTCCGGCTTAAAGCTTGGTGTGCTTGTGCTATTATTTGTCTCTCGTTGTGTCGTGTGAGCTCCAAGCTTGCCATGGCTATTTAGAACGTTGTAACGTGCAATGTACTTGGCAAACATTTGTTATTAGAATATAATATAACCATGTTGCGTGAGTTGTTTACTTGTGCAATTATTTGTCGTTCGTGGTGTCGTGTCAGAGCCAAGCTTACCATTGTTGTTTACAAAATGCTATACTTGCAAATATTGGTGTACTTGCCAAGTCACGAGCCGTCTGAGTTTGAATATTAAATTATAATACACATAAAGCTGAGCTCAAACGACTCGGATAGTTGGCAAGTATACCAAAATTTGTGTTCTTGGCAAGTATACCATCTTTGTAAACAACAACGGTAAGCTTGGTGCTCACACGACGTGACGAGTGACAAATAATTGCATTAGTAAACAACTCGCCCTACATGGCAAGTATATACCTACCAATAACAAATGTTTGCCAAGTACACGAGTCATTTGAGTCCGGCTTTAGAACCTTCTAAAGATATCAAAAGATTTACCTTTTTATTTTTTTAGGATTTTCAAAAATTGCAATTACGAATAAATAATATTATTACGAAGTAATACTATAATAATTTTTTCGTGTACTCGCTATTATTTAAGCTTATGTATTTGTATAAGTAGGTGTTTATTGGATGGTGGTAGCACCGTCGGAGAATGGCACTAAGCCTATAGTTGTTCAAATTTCGTTAACTGTGGAAAATTGCTTGCTCTACAACTACATACCAAGGACTATTAGAAATATGGAATAATATTTATCATCAGGGCCGTCTTAGGGGCCAGGGTGAGCGGGCGGCCGCCCGGGGTGGCCGTTTGTCTGGGGCGGCCATTTACCTGGGTTCATTTTTTAAAATTGGAATTAAAAAAATATTTATTTTGAAACAACACATCCGTTATCATAACACAACTACCTATTCAATATTTACAATAAAATTTTAAAATAATGAGAATAATTGCACGTTTCCCATAAATGAAAAAGGAAGAAGGTTTACTAGTAAAAATTATTGCAGACTAGCCAACGGAGAAAATACTCTAAGGGAATGGCTAATATATTCTAAATTACTGGATTCAGTTTATTGCTTTCCGTGTAAGTTATTATTTTCTGCAAATGATAAATGTACATCATTAATTTAAAAACGGCTTTCGGGATTGGAAACATCTTTCAGAAACACTAACTTCTCATGAAGTTAGCAAAATACATGTCATGAATTATAATAAGTGAAAAATGCTTCAGAAATCTTTTGAGAACGACACTACCATTGATACCACTCACCAGAAAGTGCTAAATTTAATAAAAGAACATTGGAAAAATATTTTGAAAAGAATAATATATACTATTATACTTTTTCTGACCGGCCAAAATCTTGCTTTGCGCGGATCATCCGAAAAGTTATACGTTAAAAATAATGGGAATTTTTTGAAAACAGTTGAGTCGCTTGCTCAGTTTGATCCCATCATGAAAGAGCATCTTAATAAAATTGAAAAACTCCAAATTTGGAAAGAAAAACTCATTATTTAGGACACAATATCCCAAAATAAATTAATAAGTCACTTTTCAAATAATATTAAAAAGAGAATAATTTCTGATATTCTGGACTCAAAATATTTTTCCATCATCTTGGACTGTACTCCAGATCAAAATAATATATGAAAAGGCCAACCCGTTCACAGTTAAAGAGAGTTTCATAGAACATTCACCTTTAAATGATACAACTGGCCGGGGTCTCACAGAGGTCGTGCTGTCAAAACTGAATGAATTGGACTTGGACTTTCAAAACGTTCGTGGTCAGGGCTATGACAACGGAGCTAATATGCGGGGTAAAAATGTTGGTGTTCAAAAGAGAATACTTGATATAAATAGAAGAGCAATGTTTGTACCGTGCACAGCTCATTACTTAAATCTAGTTATTAATGACGCTGTCAAAGCCACATTTGAAAGTACAAGTTTTTCTCTTGTACAAGCTGTTTATGTTTTTTTCCGCTTCCGCAAATAGATGGGCTTTACTGAAAACAAAAATAAAATTCCTAACTCTAAAACCACTTAGCGATACTCGTTGGGAAAGCAGTGTAGAATCCGTTAAAGCTTTAAAATATCAAATTGAGGATATCTATGACTCCTTAGTAGAAATTTCGGAAGATTTGACTTGCTTCAACTGCTAGGAATGAGAATGATGGCTTAGCAAAAAAAATTAGGAGGTTTGATTTTTTGGAACGAAGTTTTAAATAAGATCAACTTTGTTAGCAAGCTTCTGCAGAGGCCCGATTTAAATATAGTTCAATCTACTAAATCTTTAGAGTCACTTGGCAGTCACTTTCGGAGTTGTAGAAATGATAAATACTTCCAGGAAGTGCTGGTCGATGCAGCTGAGTTGGCCCAAGAATTAGAAATCGAAACCAAATTTTGCATAGAAACTAAAGCCCGTCCAAGAAAAAAAAAACGCGACAATTCTTGTATGAAGCTCAGGATGAACCAATAAACGACCCATGTCAAAAATTTAAAGTTGAAATTTTCTTTGTCGTTGTAGATAAAATTATTAACTCAATTGATGAGAGATTTGAATTATTGAGAGTTCATTCTAATTACTTTTCATTTTTAAATAATATTCCTGAAGCAATTCTCCAAATCAATAAAGAAGATCTCGTGAAACATTGCCTTGACTTAGAGTTGTGCTTAACTGATGGTGAAAGCAAAGATTTAAATGGTCTTGAACTGCGAGATGAACTGATTTCTTTTGATGTCTTGATTGAAAAAGAAAATGAGAAAATAAATAACTCACAAAAAATTTTAGAATTTATCTATTCAAACAATTTGGATGGAAATCTACCAAATATGTGTAATAGCACTAAGGATTTTGCTTACACTACCAGTTTCGGTAACTTCCGGCAAAGTTTACAGAATAAAATATAAGTTCCGTCACTTGTGCCGGCGGCAGGTATCAAAAGCCGCTTCACGCACGTGTTTCCCAGTGTGTATTACTGGTGTGTGGACTTTGGACCCAGCATACACGGCGGATCACGTTCGGCGTATTACTCTGATTTTGGCGTTATTACAGAGTGGTCTCGCATGCATATGGAATTATTTTTCAAGTGGTTATTTAATTTTCATTGCAAAGTGTTACTGATCACATTGGCCTTAGTTAATTATTTATTAGTTTATTATAAAAAAAGCATAATTATTTTTATTATTTCTTAAAAATAACATTGAGTTTTTCGCCACTGGAAAAAAATTATTTAAAATATCTAATTAGAATTATTCAAGAACACTTTATTTTTTTACACGAAAAATCATATACTGGGTGTGTCTCAAAAGTGGCTTATCCCTATAACTTTTTTATTTTTTCAGATAAAAAAACGAGATTTGGTGTGTTAGTATATGACCTAAATTAGGATTGATTAACGTTTTCAATTTTTTTCGGTCACTTCCGGTTTCACCGAAAATGACTACAACTTTTGATTTTTAAACGGAACCTCGGCATTTTTCTACTTTATTCGATAAAAAATGACACTCTGAATAGAATGACATATCATATGTCAACTTTTGGCGTTCTAGCTTTAAAAAAATCTTTTAAAATTTCAATATTGAGTGTCATAGCTCTTTTAAAAACAAAACTTTAATCGAGGAGTCCTGGGAAAATAGATTTGATCGTCTAATGTTTTCCATGTCTTGTCTTGGCCGGTTAAAAGATGCCCAAATGGTATTTTTAACCATATCTTAATTTTTTCAAATGGAAAGAGGAGTGGTTCATTAGTATATTTGGAAAAAGTATTTTTTACGAATAATTTCATGCCACACACTTGGTATTTCGAGTCAAATTGTCGTTATAAACCGCGTGTTACACTTTCAAATAAATCATATGTGAAACTGTTAAAAGCTGACATATGATATGTCTTTCTACCCAGAGTATCATTTTCTATCGAATAACGTAAAAAAATACCGAGGATACCATTTAAACATCAAAAGTTGTTGACATTTAATAGTTTCAGCTTTGAATTTTATAGTGTACGTAATTCGTGTTGGAAAACCATATTACGCACTCATGGAGTACTGCACTTGTGCGTAATATTATTTTTTCCAAAACACTCGTTACGTAATATACTTTTACATTATTTACTGTTGATATTGTGTAGCTTTATTTTTTGTGTTTGTTTTTAAAATTTATTTTATTTTTGCTATATCTTTTTTTATCTTGCCATGTCTAAATATTTATATGTAATACACCAATAAACTGATTTATAGATTTACTATTAAGTATTTTTGAAATACCCCACGTTCCCCTGCACCTTGTCGCACATTGCGATCGGTAAAAATGCGGCTTCTATTTACCCCGGCTTCCACTCCTGTTTTCATCGAAATCCGGCGTATCGGTCGAGGCGGCTTCTGGCTTTTGATACGCGATTTTCAAAGTGCCGATGCTAAGTGACCGAACTTAAAATGAAATTGCCAGTAATTTAAATTATGATGAACTAATTTGCTCCTTTGCGGAAAAGAAAGCTCGAATTATGTTTTAGTTATGTTTAGTTTACTATAAGATTATTCTTCTGTTTTTCTAAATTTGTATATTAATATTTTTGTAAATATAATTTATAATAAGTAACGTTTCCGAAAATGTATTTTTTTCCTCATAGCTTTGTGGTATTTTTAGAGAGGAGATGCAACTATTTCAGAAAGTTTGCCCGGGGCGGCCAAAAACCTAGGGTCGGCCCTGTTTATCATATTTAAAATAATAGAGTAGCTTGGTCCCTTTAAAACGATCAATGTTCAATATTTTATCTCTCTATTATTTGGCTAGCCCAGAAAGATATCGTGCAATATCACTTAAGATGAATAAAAATATAATTCTCATTTCAATAGAAACAAAATATAAATATGAACAAAATAAGGTCGTCATTTAATGACCGTGTAAAACCGTTTAACAATACTGCAACCTACACATTTTTTCTTACGTAATTGATACTACATTACTGGTGAAAATTTTAATTTTAACTGAAGGTAAAGTAAATTAATATTAGAATTTTTCTAGAGGTGTCGGCAGTTTAATCGCCATTTATCTCCACTTGTCTTTATTATAAATAGGAAATTATTTTTTTTAGTTAAGATTACTATGCGGTGTATATACTAGTGTGATATTATCTGCAATAGACGTGACGCTGACCTAAGATAATAAAAAAGTATAATATAATAAATTAACTTGCCTTCTTTGGGTAAATCAACGGGCTTGGCATTGGGAATTGTAACAGGTTCTGCTAATTCTAAGATGGCTATATCGAAATCCACCAACGAGGAAGCGTACCGTGGATGAATGACAGCGTTTTTTAATCTCAATATTTGACCATCCGCATTTCGGATTGAGGTACCAGCCCTAAAATTTTTATTAGCCTTTATTGCAACAAAGAAGATCAACTAACCTCAATGATAGCAGATTCTTGTCAAAACCCTGCACGCAGTGGGCTGCTGTCAATGCCCACTTCTTGTCAATAAGAGTAGCTCCACAGATATGGTTTCCTCGAAATAATAGAGAAAGATGGTAGGGAAAATCTTCAATGGAAGCTTTTTGTCCCCCAACAACACGCCCATCCGGTATAGGGTTCTTTGTCTTGAATGAAATTGGAAGACCTAAAAATATGTATGTATAAGACTTGGTAAAGTAATAATTGTTAAATATAGTTAACAATATACCGGGTGCGTCTCAAAAGTGGCTCACCCCTATAACTTTTTTATTTTTTCAGATAAAAAAACGAGATTTGGTATGTTAGTCTATGACATAAATTAGGATTGATTGAAGTATTCAATTGTTTTCGGTCAATTTCTAAATGGCACCCTCGGTATTTTTTTACTTTATTCGATAGAAAATATCTCACTCTGAATCGAATGACATATCATATGTCAACTTTTGACATATTCGCTCAAAAACAAATTGTATTTTAAATTTCAATCCAGAGTGCCATGACTGTGTTAAAAACACTAATTTTTAATCAAGAAGCCTCTAAAAAATAGATTTAATGGTCTTATGTTTTTAGTGTCTTGTCCTGGTCGGTTAAAAAATGCCCAAATCGTATTTTTAATCATATCTCAATTTTTTCAAATGGAACGAGGGTGGCTCATTAGCATATTTGGAAAAAGCATCTTTTACGAATAATTTGATAACACACACTTGGTACTTCAAATCAAATTGTCATTATGAACCGCATGTTACAATTTCAAATAAACCGTATGCAAAAATGTCAAAAGTTGACATATGATACGTCATTCTATTCAGAGTATCATTTTCTATCGAACAAAGTAAAAAAATACCGAGGGTTCTATTTAAAAATCAAAAGTTGTAGTCATTTCCGGGGAAACCGGGAGTGACTAAAAACATTTGAATACGTCAATCAATCTTAATTTATGTCATATACTAACATACCAAATCTCGTTTTTTTATCTGAAAAAATAAAAGGTTATAGGGGTGAGCCACTTTTGAGACCCACCCGGTATAGTTAACTTTATTAACCATAAAGCACATAATTCCATACAATTTTCATTAATAAGGGAAGAATTATCATAATTTTATTATTCTTTTTTTCGCTAATGTTATTTATAACGAAATATGTGCTCGACCATTTTTGTAACACCCTGTATAAGAAACATGATAGTTCTAAATTTTTCCGATGACAATAATTAATATAGATTGAATAAATAAAATTGTATTATAAATTTCTCTTGCATATATTTCTAATATTTAAATATTATTCCAAGGATTTAACGCCTTTTGCATAGTATTTAACTACAAACTGTTTATTTAATAACAGTTATATTTTAGAAATTGAAAAGAACAAAAGAATGGAAACTCTATTTGTACTACACTATGAGAGTAAACGATTTTACACATTACTCAGTTGACAAAAGAATTGTATGTCACTATAACTACAAGCATGTTATACTTTCTCTCTATAGCTGTTTTAAAGCAAAAACAGTATTATATGTTTTATGTTAAACTACTACAAATAACGAATATGTTGAATTATTTATAGGTTAGTCAATAAGTTGTTAAAGATCTTAAATAAAATCGGCAAAAATATCAACAAAATATGGTTTAAAAACAAGCCGCATAGTTCGGTTAAAATAGCTGCATTTTGATTTCACTTATATATTTTATGTAATAAGAAATTTATTAGACGAAGACTAAAGGTTGTCGCCCACTAGACCGCAGCGCGACGCGGCGCGGCGCCATGTGGAAATTTCTTTTGTCTGCTTGCCATGTATTTAAATGGACCAACGCACATCAGAGCGCGCAGCGCAGAAGCGCGCCGCGGGATTTCCGTCAAGAAGTCGGAAGACTTCTCTAGCAACTTTTTTCTGTCTCCCGCGTTTTTGCGCGTTGCAGTATGCGTACTCACATGGGAAATAATTTTTCATTCGAGTCTTTTCAGTTAGCTTTTTGACTAGGAACTAGTGATACGTATCAATGGTAGAATTGTATTTTTAAAGGTAAATTAGGCAAATCGATTTTCATAAAGGAATATGATATTTTTTTAAGTCTTCCCTCACTAGAGACAGATGGACGAAATGCCGTTCTATCAAAGATTTAATATAATTGAGGGGTGTAGAGGCAAAACCGGCAATCTCCACTTTTTAACAAAAGTGACAATCTCCAATTTTTAAATTCTAATTACCTAAATATATAAAAAAGATCAGGGTTTTTTTTTGAACTCATTGCTTTAAAAACTAAACTACAGTAAGTAAAAAACACTTCGACTATAACAAATAAATAGCGTTGCCGCGTTTCAAAAGCGCGCTATAGTGGACGCAGTTCCTTCGCAACCGGAAAAAATTCTCTTCCCAGCGCCGCGCCGCGCAGCGGTCTAGTGGGCGACAACCTTAAGAGTCCCCACAGACGCTCAGTTCTTTAACGCAGTTTAACTGTCCAGTTTTATGCTAAATTCTTGCTTTTTAAGACTTTGTTAGTTTTTTTCTTAAAGAACAAAGAACCTTTATAAATTAATTAAAAATAATTAATATTTTTAACAACTGCTTCTCTAGTTGCTTCCGGTTGCTTCCGAATCAATCTCCTTTATTATTCCTACTATATAAAATGTTCATAAGCTGCATACTTTATTCCTATCACAATAATCCGTTTTTTTTTATTTTCCATCAACATGGCATCCTTTTATACCCAAGCAGCATTTGGACGTCGGGACAACGTTGTGTCACGCGACCAAACGTCGGGGCGCAACATCGGCACAACCTCGTGCCAACCCTAGTCTGCACTAGTTTGGAGAATAATTTTTGGGTCGAAACGACGTTGGATACCGACGTTGGCTAGCAGCCTAATTTAGTTAACAACGTTGTTTAAAATCCTAATTCACAGAAATACAAAACTATAATAATATGGCGTCTAAGTCGCGTTTTATCCTAAATTGGGATAATTATAGTAAAAATATTATTTTTATGATTTAGTTAGAGACATATGCCAGATGGCAGTAAAGGAAAACAAAACAAAAGTATTTAGGTGTGGAGGATGTTTGAAGATCATAATTATTGAAACACTTTAACCAACTCTGTAACTCGTTACCCAAGGCAAAAAAGTTAAACGCAAACAACTTTATTGATAAATGTATTGTTTCTACTTTGAAAAATACTAATGGGCCTTAAAATTAAAGAAGTTTTAAAAAATTTCTTAATTTTTTTTTTGTAAAATGAGAATAATTTATTCGCAGTCGAAAAAATTGTTTCCGCGTGTTGTTTAGGGTCAAATATTTCAAGTTAATGTATTCAAAAAGCAGGAATTGCTATTTTAGGAACGAAACATTTTCTTATTCAACAACATGGCGGCTTTCACTGTGTTGTTTTGGACATTAAGATGGAGTTGTCCGAGTAGTCGCATACTGGACTAATAAAGTCGCAGTTCAGCCTTAACAGGTAGTATACTAGTCGCAAGATTGCCTAATTTAGTCATCCTAGAGTCTAGCTTGTGCCGCCCTCTATATACTAAACAAACGAGGGAGTGGATAAAGTATCGGTAATATGTCGATGTATATTTAAATTTTAGTTTTATATGTACCTTTCTTATGTCCCATTTTAATTAAGTTTTTTTTATAAAGACAAAAACAGCACTGAACTGTCTGACTGAACAGAACAATAAAGTGAAAATTTAAGATTTAAGGTTATGGTTCAAAACAGTTGCAAAAAGGTAGTGGCTCGACGTCCTACCAACGTAAGAATAAGGAAATCTAAACAACGTTGGAATTAGTAAAACAGACGATGTTTGCATAACGTTGGAATAGGTCCTGAAAGTGACGTCGGAAAACTGTTTATTGCCCAACATTGTAACTACGTTGTCCGAATCACCTAAAGATCACTTAAGCAAAAAAGGTTAAAAGACAACGTTTATTCGACGTCGCCGAAGCTTTTACTTTGTTGTAGTACTAGTTCAACGTCGGCACAACGTTACAACAACGCTTATATTTATTTTAATACCCAAGGTGCGGAGCTAACTATTTTTTGTAACTAATCCAAAGTTGTATTTAGTAAACATGTGGTCGCAAGTCGTGAAAATGCTACTTGGGTATGGTTCAATAAAATGGGACAAAAAATGTTTCCTCCAAATGGGCATTTTGTTTCGAGTTGATAATAATAGACTGCAAATATCTAATCTATGGACTGAAAATACAGGGTGTTTTAAAAATCAAAATATAAGATTCATTTTTCATATTAACATAAGTTCGATTCTGCTTTGTTCCGTAGCTACAGGGGATTAAAACCTTTATCTTTTTTTTATTTATTATAATTTTCCTTCAAGTGCTTTTAGAAATTCGAATGACATTTTGGGAGTTTCGAATGATATTTTTAGGGCTGGTAGATCTCGATAAAAGAAACATATTTTCTCTTTACCGTTTTTTCAAATAAGTCCAAAATAACCGAGTTAGTTTACTTGAAAATTTCCAAAAAAAATATTTTTTCTTCAATTTTGGATCTTTTTCCCTGGATCTTTTCTGGGTTTTCTTTGTAAATTTAATCTACTACCTATATTGCCATATTATCAAGAAATTATGTTTTTAAGTAAAATCTAAAAAAATTTCCAAATATTTTTTTACCAAAAATTTCAATTTTTTTCGCAAAAAAACCTCATTACCGTATTTTTGGGGTCGAATATATAGGTACTACCCTCAAAAATATTTGCACTTATTTAAGACTTACCCTCCCCCATATACCTAAATATTTTGTACAGTAGTACTATTGATACTTGAGATTTTTAAAAATTCAAAATCTTTAGTTTTTAAAATAATAATAATAATAATATGAATTCCATTTATTGCTCACTTTGAATAAGAAGACTAAGGAAGGAGCATAATGCTATCCATGTATTCATGCATGGTGGGCGGAAAAGCCACCATAAAAGCTCTCTAGGGTGGGGATCCTTGACAGTTCTGTTTGACGATTCATTTGACACATTTGAATTTGATTTGAAATTTTGTGGATTTGTCAGTCTTTACGGAGCTTATTTTATGTTATTTATTATTTATTCCACTACTGATAGTTGTATAAAGGTAGTAAATCTAGATGGAAATTGTGGCAGAACTTAAATTAACAGTGACATTATCGCGATTTATCGAAAAAGACTCTAAAATAGTTGG